AGGGTTCAGCCTCCTGATGAGTCGGTGAAACTCCGACGAAACAGTTTGTCACAGCCCCTCGTTTGTTGTCCTCTTCTCTCTCTCTGCCTACGGTTTACCGGGCAGTTCTGTTTGTGACGATATAATATATATATATATATACTCGTTTTCCTGGACGTTTCCCGACCGGTGCATCCCACTAGACACGACATGCATCCACGGGCCTCTCTCGTTTTGCTTGGAAAACATCCAGGCAAAACAGGACCGCGGCCTGACTCGTTTTGCCTGGAAAACATCCATAGGCAAAATAGGTGCATCCCGCCAGACAATGAATGCATGCACCAACCTCTCGTTTTGCTTGGAAAACAAACATCCAGGCAAAATAGGACCGTGGCAAAGCAGGACAAAGGTGCGACTCGTTCCCCTCTCCCCCCCCCCCGCCCCTCCCCAATTTGGACCATTTGTCTCGATCGGAAATCTTTTGAAATGCCCCTGGGCATACCACAAATAAATGCAAGTGGGAGGGGCATTTCAAAAATTTTCCCTTTCTCGATTTATGTGTGTCATCCTTGTGCAGGGGCCATGCTAATCTTCTCTGTAAGGCACCACCAGTACGACAAGCAGTAGGAAGGCATATTCACACTAGGGGGACAGGTAGGGGGGAGCACTGGGACTGGGCGAGTAGTGTTAGCCCTCCGGGCACCGGCGCCTTCGTGCAGCTTTCATGCGGCGCTGTTCGCCCGTCACCCCTGCCATCGCGACGGGAACGGAAAGGTTGGACACACACTCCACTTCGAGAGTGAGGGAAATCCCCCATGGCCAAAAACATCGACCGGTCCCGAATGCTTGATAGGTTAGGAGGTGGAAGAGAGGGATACTATGCACGCCAATAGAGCAGAAGTCAGCACCAAATAAACGAGGTCAAACTCAAGTCTATTATAAGGGTTGCAACAAAAAAGGAGCGATGAAGTCCAGAAGGGAACAAACCAGTCAGGGCAGATATCGTCCGCCGATCCCACCAAATCCAGGGGGAGAAGCGGAGAGGGTGAGGGACTCAGTCGGAAGGTGTTATGAGGGCATATGCCCAGATGACCTGGGCTTAGGAGAGGTAGTGGAGGACGAGAAGGGGAGGGTGTTCGTAGTGCACAAGGCGGTGGATGAGATCAAGGAGCAATGGCTCAAGGAGAGAACAGTTATACAGGTCTTCCATGTGACGAACCACTTCACGACCCCGTGCCACCTTTCGTACCCTTTCTTTTGCTTATATCATACCAACCCCAGGAAAACCCCGTTTTGATTTCTTGATTTCGGGTGCCGCATTTTCCTTTTCGATAGCTTTTTTTTTCAACTGCTGAGTTCTATTTTTCTTTTTGCAAAGTCGGGAAATACATGGGAATTTACGTGCGTCTTAGCGAGCGCACTGGGAATTGGGCTCAGCAGTTGGGAATTCCGGGATAAGCGAAACTTCGACATGTCCTTTTCGGTTCTTGGGCGCGTCGGGGAAAACTTTCGGAATTTAGCGTGAATATGAATAGGCGTAGGATTTTCTTTTCCCGCGTTGTTTTTTCGCGCGCGGATATGGTGATTTCAATTTTGAATTAGGAGAGAAGCAAGCCGTAACTGTTTCGGTGCCTTTTTCTTTCTTTTTTGTTGACGGCGCCACTCATGCAGAGGCTTTCTCCTCTTTGTCTCCCGCATCGCTCCCTCCCGCGCTCCCTTTCCTTCTCCCTCCTCTTTCTCTCTCCCCGTAACTGTTTCTTCCTCTCTCCCCCCTCCCCATCTTGTTGTTTGCGCGCCCATTTCCCTTTCTTGATCGTCTGAATCTTGGACCCGTCTTGCACCACCTCACGCGCCTTTTCTCTTCTCACCCTCTGAGTCTGGCGTACGACGCCCAGTCGATCCCCCGATATCTCCCGCTCGCCAATCAGATGCGTGGATCGATAGGACCTTCCTATCGTGCTACGAATCTGATTGGTTGAACATTGAGTTCCGAGGGATCAACATGGCGTTCTCAGAGCGCTCTTCTCAAAGTCTTCTCCTCCTTCTCCTCCTACACCCCCGCCTTCCCGTCGTTCTCTCCCCCTTCTCTCTCCTCTGTCGCTATAAAACCCGCAAGCGCGCCCGCAAAGCTCTCTTACGTTCTCGACTCTCAAGCCAGCTTCCGGGAAGCAGTGGCTAGGCAGAGTGTTTGAAGCGAGTCGAAAAGTCCTGTCGGGCTGACGATAGACTGGCCGGTTGCGCGCTGGACCGCCACGACGGACCGTGGGATCTGGGCGAACCATGTCGAGTTTACGACAGCGGGGTGACGATCGCAGTGGTGGGAATTAGCACGCGACGGTCGGGATCGTCGGTGCGGGTATGAGGTTCGATGATTGGAGTTGAGTGAGTGATTGGCCGGGGCCATAGTGGAATTAACGACGAATGCGCCTTTGTTGCGGAAGCCTGACAGTACTTTCTGGATTGAATTTGGATCTTTCTGTTTTCGCGCCATGTCTGCGCGCGCATTCCGCGACGCGCGAAACTAATCGACTTGCTTCATCGGACCATCACGGGGGATTTCAGTTCCATCTGTGTCCCCACACTCAATTTCCAAAAATCCTTGGCACACCCGATCTCGCTGTTTTTCTGAGCCTCTTTTCGCACGTCTCACACTCCGAACGAAAGACAGCACAGGGCGTGAGGTTGGTATCGGAGCCGACACGTGTCGGTTCTGATGATAGTAAGTCGAACTGGCGAAAGGTAGGAGAGACCCTCAACTAGCTCGTCGAGATCGCCCCGTAACCAGGTCTCAGTCTAGTGTGGCTGCACCAGCAATGGCAATGGTGGACGGTACTAGGGTGATCGTTAGCATCCCTGCCCCTTTTCCCTTCTTCCCTAACCATACCCATCCCGAGGCTTAGCAAGAAGTTGTCGAAGCTCAAAACTACAGCGCAGCCGATCTTCCCCGTGTTCTGACACTGCTACTCCGCAATACATCGCACGACTGGTTCAAAAAGCATACATGGGTAGATTGGGAGACTTTTAAGCATGCATTCTTGGCTCGATTCGGCACGGTTAGCGAAGATGCCGCCTGGTACGTGCTAAAAAATCGACCCCAAGGACCAGGGGAACTGTTACCCGATTTCGTTGATCGATTTCAAACCACATTGGATAAATCCGGGCGAGACGAGAAGTCTGCTCGAGATTTGTTTATTGATCACCTTCGAAGTTCGACCTTGAAAGGGAGACTGCGGAAAAAGGTCCTGCCGAAAACAACCCAATTATCGGCTATCATCACTAAAGCGTTGGAGCTAGACTTGGCTGATACAAAAAAATATATCAGCCAGGGAGACGAGGATATTACAGATACCATACGGGATGTAACAGCCAAAAGGCGATCATGGCTACAGGCGGTCCAACGGTTTTATCCCCGCCCCGAGCATAACCTTCCCGGCGGAATCGTCTTCGATACCCCGGCTACTTCTCCTCCCTCTCCCTCGGTGAATCAATCAATCGCAGCCGTTAGAAGCAGAACCCCATCCGAACCCCCCTCGCCCAGATGATCCATACGGCCACTACTAAGCAGTCTGAATGGATGAGTAACCTGATCCAAATGTAGACGGCTCACATGGAACGGATGGAACAGATAATGAGCCGGGTCATTAAGCCTAACCCGGCTCCTGCCCGACCTACCCCTGCTTCGTTTCCGTTCTTACCTGCTCCACCTGCTCCAGGATTTGCCCCTCAGTTTCCCCATCTAGCTAATCCGGCTGGAAAGATCGAGTGTTTCAAGGCATTTCGCCCGAGACTGTCCGCAGCCGAAACGTAATCAGCCTCCCCTTGTTGCGCCCCTCGTCGCCCTTAATCAAGGACGAGTGGCCGCTCTGA